AACACAAATTAACCACAGCATTTAGAGTTTATTTTATACTGTATCTCCCATTAGTGTCTCGTGTCACATCTCACAATATGGCTTAAAGTTTAAATACATGAAGTGATTTTTACGTCAGCCAATAAAAACTAATATCTAGGCCTCAAGTGTAAAGTGTCATCTAAATCACACAAAGAACAATCTCACTTACCTCTGGTGGTATCCAGCCATGCATTAACATGGATTACCTTGCCTGATGTTTCAAAAGTCGCCACAGAACCCCAGTAGTCTGTCTTTCTCACAGTATCTGTTTCTCTCTCCTCTTCTTTCTGTCATCAGTTCTGTAAATGGGATTCATGGGATTTTCCTGCCGCCCCCACACCCCTTCTCCTTAATCTCCAGGGTTTTTTTTTTTCTTCCTGCGACCCTTCTCCCCCTGTGCTGTGATATGAGGCACCAGCAGAGTATGATAAGGAGAAATGGAGGCTATCAGGTGGCACATCCTAAAAACAGCAGATCAAACACAGCCCTTATCATACACTTCATCATCCGCTCTGCATGAAAATCCCCCTTCATTCACATTCATTCTTACACTCCCTGTAGTAATGAAAGTTGTTAAAGATCTCTGTTTTGTTTTTTATGTCGTTTCTGACTAATCAAGATTACAATAATCACGTTGTAAACTCAATTGTTCTCAAGGGGGGAGTAATGCTGCAGAGTTCTGAGGGCAAAGGAAGTATTTCTTCACGTGTGACTAAGTCTGATTTTTCTTCTTCCAGCAGCCTTTTTACTTCATCTTAACATGAATCTAAGACCACTCAGACTCCTACTTTAACGCACACTCTGTTTATATGTGCACGTGTGTAGTTACGCATCATTAAGATTCACCGCAGGGTGCCTCTGAGATGGAGAACAATTTATTGTGTGCACATAAGTTTTGCGTGTTCATGCACAGTTTAGTGCAGTAATTTAAACAGAAACACACCTCAGCGGTTCTACGTTTTTATGTTTTTCTCCATTTCTCCATTTTCTTAGTTGTAACATTGTTTAATCTGATACAAGTAATGCTCTCTGCAATGTTAGTTGAGTGCTTTGTTCCAGAAAATGTATTTTTTTAACAATTAAGACGCTTGTTCCAGTGTTTGAATGACGTGTTTTACTGTTTGTGTGGTTTTCAGATGATCCAGACCCAGAGGGACAGGGGTTCTGCCAGGCTGGCTTCAGTGTTGATTTCACCAAGGTAAAGATCGCGGCAAATCGCCATGACAACCCCGTGCACACATCTTTGTAAAATGCGAGCAGAGAGGTCTCTTCAAACACAAGACTCCCTTCAGAGATTTATGAACACGGGGAAGATGAGAGCACGTTTGTCCCCAGAGGAGCCTCAACGCCTGATGTGACCCATCGCCTCTGAACACAATAGGCCAAACACACACATACACATTCTTTCACTGTATAGTCAATGTGAACTTTGGCGTCAGTGTCATATGGTCCAACTCAACCCTCCTGTACAGGAAGCTGTCATTCTCCAAAGGATGTCAACAGACATGACAGCAAGAAATAATACGTGCACACATACACACAAACGTTATATACCCCTGACACAAGCACACACTCTCACTGACAAATTGCTGTCACATGACCAACCCTAACTAACCGTATTTATTCCAGGAAGGAATGCTGGTCGTAGGAGGACCTGGAAGCTTTTACTGGCAAGGTAAGTGCAACAACAGTGTAAACCTGTATTTGGTCTCTCTTGCAATGATTTCATAGATGGGAAGGTGTTCAAATGAGAGAAGAGAATGGAGATGAGTTTAACAGTCCGAACAGCCCACATACACACATATGCACAGGGATACACTGGCCAAATCTGCAGTTTCATAATAGGAGTCTTACGTAGGAGAAGGTGGAAAGAAATGTGTCTCTCTCTGACGCTTTCCTTAACTTTTTCCCCCTTCCTCGCTCCTTCACTTCATGCCACTCTCTGCCTGTAACAGTGTAACAGGAAGTAAGTTTGGGCTCTGTAATGAGCTGATCGGGGGGGTAATGGAGTGTGGAGGAACTGCCCCTCTGCCCTGTGATAAAGCACAGAGGGCCTTGGAAAAAGCACGGAGGAGAGAGGAAGAGACTCAAGGGCAGGCTACAGGGTTGAGAAGGACAGAAGAAAGGTATTGTGGGG